AAGAAAGCATTTAAGGGAAATACATTTAGTAAATGTGATAAAATAAGTTTGGTTGGTGGATATGGTGCATTTGGTAAAGGAGCTACAGCATTAAAATAATTAACACTTCCACCTCATTATAAATTAAAGATCAATATATAGTTATGGAAGTAATATTATTAAATAATTAAAATAATAGAATAGATAGTTGGGATAATGAAATAATGTATGTATTAGTTGATGGTTTCATATGGCAAGCAAAATGGCATTATTCTGAAGGAGCAAATTTATGTGGAGCAGCAAATGATTGGAAAGAAGCTTTTTATAATATAGAATTTGAGGTTCCACATAATTCACCAACAGTTAGCATAGTATTGACATCAAATTTAGATGAAGATGCATTGAATGTATAAATATTAATTTATAAATTATAATAGGAATCATGGGCATTTAGAGATTTCAAATTATCATTTTAGAGATGTCATCCAGAATGTTCAGTATGTAGTGATAATAAACCAGATAATTGTTTCTTTTGGACAAATGTAGCTACTAATTGGAATAAATAAATATCATTAGAAGGTTGGACTCTAGATGGAGAAGGAAAAGCAGAATCAAATGAATGTGCAGGAGTATAACTTTTTGGTGGATATGGTAAATTAGGTAGAAAAGCTAATTTATGGAAAAGATTTACAAATTTACCTCCTCATTATTAAGTGAAAGTGAAAGTTTAAATGTGGAAAATAGATTCTTGGGATAATGAATTATTTTTAATGGAAATTGATGATTAAGAGAAATTTAGATAAGCTTTTGCTTATAATGAAGGAGTAGATCTTTGTGGTGTTGATACAGGTGCAAAATAAGGTGAAGGATGGGCTGAAAAGATTGTTAATATTGAAATTAATGTTCCACATAAATTCCCTGAAGTTAAAGTGTTAATGAAATCAACTTTAGATGAACCACCTGAAAATGAATCATGGGGTGTAAGAGATTTCTAATTGTTTGCTGCTTAATGTTTCAAAGGTTGTTCAGGTTGTACTGGACCTGCTAAATCTGATTGTACATCATGTGGTTAAGGATTTGATTTAATTAATGGAGAATGTAAAGAAGGAAGTAATTTAATTTAATATTTTAAATAGTTAAATGGATGACATTAAATAGATTCTTCTTTAATGATGAATAAGATTTCTAAGGATTATATGATTGGGTGCCATCTAATGTATTCTAAAATTAAAATGCATTTTCTACATGTGGATAAAAGAAACTATTTGGAGGGTATTAAAGATTTGGTCTTAAAGCTAAAGCTGAAAGAAATTTCAATCTTCCAAAACATTCTAGACTTAGAATTTAATTCTAATTTTGGAAGATTGATTCATGGGATGATGAAAAATTCTAACTTTTCCTTGATGGTAAAGTAGTCTTTGAAAGATCTTTTGGATTCAGTACTCCAGGATAAGCTAAAATTTGTGGAGCTCCATAAAGTACTTGGATGACTTACTTTTTCAATGTTGATGTTATTGTTGAACATACCAATCCTACTGCTAATATTGTTTTAACTTCTACTCTAGATTAAGCTGCTGATGATGAATCTTGGGGATTCAGAGAATTCTAATTGCTTTATGAATTAAAAGAAGATTGTGTTGAATTATATACTGAATGTGGATTCAAAGGAACTAAATTTGAAATCTGTAGAGATACTCCTTCACTTGCTAGAGTAATCATTTATTTCTATTTATAGGAAAAAGTCACTCAAGTTAAATCTATTAAAATTCCTCCTGGTGTGATTGTCTAAGGATTTGATGAAGAAGTTTATAAAGGAAAAACTGTTAAATTCTCATCAAGTTAAGATTGTTTAGAGGAAATCTAATTTTCTTTTATTCAAAAAAAGTTTGAAATTATTCAAGCTGATGATTCTGTTTTAGCTGCAAATTTAAGACGTATCAGATTTGATTGATTTAAAATAAATATCATTATTAGTAATATTAAAATTTATTATTTATATCTTCTCTTTCTTCTTAAATTCATTCTCTTCTTTAACTAAAATTTTTGAAAAATACTTTATTAAATTCTATACCAATTTATTTTAAATTAAATTATTACTACATAATTTCTAGTGAAGTTAAACTAGTCAATTACAAACTAAATTTTCATCCATAAATTATCATAACATTCTTAAGCATATCCTATTCTAGAAAAGTCAGAAAATCTTATAAAATACTAAGAGAAATAAATTATTTCATGTTATTCATATAATGATATTGAAATCCCACAAAAAATTTTGGAGGACATTTTTAAAAGAAATTTAAATGTATGAATCTGAAATTTTTTGAATAAACAAAATAAATGAAAACTTATTAAATTTAATACTTAAATTTAATCCAATTCACATGAAATTTATTATTATTTAAGGTTTAAATTTAAGTTTTTAATTTAATCAAGCAAGATAGCTTGAGTAAGTATAAAATGCATGGGAAAAGAATCAAGCACTTTGATGATCATATATTTTGTTTTTCATTAAAGAATATATACAGATTTATGCTATCAATTTTTATGATGTTTATTTAACGATTCAGGTTTAATTTTATATTATGTGCTATTGGCTTATATAATATTTGGTTGAAATGTATTAAAAAAAATTTATCGTCAATTTTAAAGGATAAAATATTTAAAAATCCTAGTAATCAATTAAGTTTGTATTCGGTGATTTATATACATGTTTGATCATTTTTCTAAAAATTACAAGAATGAATATTCACTCAATTTGATGGATACAAAATGATAAACCGATTAACTGANATATACTGAATGTGGATTCAAAGGAACTAAATTTGAAATCTGTAGAGATACTCCTTCACTTGCTAGAGTAATCATTTATTTCTATTTATAGGAAAAAGTCACTCAAGTTAAATCTATTAAAATTCCTCCTGGTGTGATTGTCTAAGGATTTGATGAAGAAGTTTATAAAGGAAAAACTGTTAAATTCTCATCAAGTTAAGATTGTTTAGAGGAAATCTAATTTTCTTTTATTCAAAAAAAGTTTGAAATTATTCAAGCTGATGATTCTGTTTTAGCTGCAAATTTAAGACGTATCAGATTTGATTGATTTAAAATAAATATCATTATTAGTAATATTAAAATTTATTATTTATATCTTCTCTTTCTTCTTAAATTCATTCTCTTCTTTAACTAAAATTTTTGAAAAATACTTTATTAAATTCTATACCAATTTATTTTAAATTAAATTATTACTACATAATTTCTAGTGAAGTTAAACTAGTCAATTACAAACTAAATTTTCATCCATAAATTATCATAACATTCTTAAGCATATCCTATTCTAGAAAAGTCAGAAAATCTTATAAAATACTAAGAGAAATAAATTATTTCATGTTATTCATATAATGATATTGAAATCCCACAAAAAATTTTGGAGGACATTTTTAAAAGAAATTTAAATGTATGAATCTGAAATTTTTTGAATAAACAAAATAAATGAAAACTTATTAAATTTAATACTTAAATTTAATCCAATTCACATGAAATTTATTATTATTTAAGGTTTAAATTTAAGTTTTTAATTTAATCAAGCAAGATAGCTTGAGTAAGTATAAAATGCATGGGAAAAGAATCAAGCACTTTGATGATCATATATTTTGTTTTTCATTAAAGAATATATACAGATTTATGCTATCAATTTTTATGATGTTTATTTAACGATTCAGGTTTAATTTTATATTATGTGCTATTGGCTTATATAATATTTGGTTGAAATGTATTAAAAAAAATTTATCGTCAATTTTAAAGGATAAAATATTTAAAAATCCTAGTAATCAATTAAGTTTGTATTCGGTGATTTATATACATGTTTGATCATTTTTCTAAAAATTACAAGAATGAATATTCACTCAATTTGATGGATACAAAATGATAAACCGATTAACTGAGGTAATATTCATAAAATTTAAAAATCAAATAATTTAAATTAATTTAAAGTAAATGAATAATCATGACTTTATATATATTAATTAATTAAGAGATTTTAGAATGTATTTCATTATTAATGAAAATAAGATTTAACCAAATGGATTAATGTCAAACCAAATATTTAATAACAAGTTTTAATAGAATATATTAACTGATCCCCATAGTTCCAGAAATTTTGAATCTAAAGATTTATCTAATTTTTTTGCATCTAGTGATTCTTAACTTGTCGAAAAAAATAATAAATGGTTCCATAAATATCCATCTTATATAATTTAGAAAACTGAAAATGTTGAAAAAAGTGAATATCCAACTCTTTATTATAAGAATTATTCATAAATTGGAAAAAATTAAAATTAAGTTAGCTTTAAGGATTAATAAATTAAATAAGAATTTTAAGCATTAATTAATGCTAAATAACATTAATAGAAGTCTTTTAGTATGATTAATTAAAGAATGGGGTAGAAATAATAATAATCTATATAAAATAAAACAGAGGATTTATAAATATAATAAAAGGTCAGAAGACCAAGTTCCCCTTAATTTAAATTTGTATATAAATAAAAATAAACCAAAACTTCTGGTTAACATATAAAATTAACTTTTGAAAAAGGATAAAAGATATTTGATACCTCATTCTAAAACAAAGAAACATCAAAAAGTGTTGTTTAACTTAAAATAAATGATCACTTTATAAAATTGTAAAATGAATATGAAAGAGAATTATATTCAAAACCGTTTGAGAATACTAAATATTCTGAAATATCTAAATAATTAAACTGTCAAACTCAAGAAAGTCCAATTGCAGTCTTATACAAAAAAAAAAATAAGTAAATCAAAATAAAATATATCTTAAAATTGTACTGATTCTAAGAATAATCTTAGCAGTGTATCTAATGACAATTAATCTGCTTAGGAGTTTAATGATAATCCCGAAGATAATTAAGAAAAATATATATAGAATCTTTTAAAAGAATATTCCTATTGAACGAAATATATTTTCTTTTATATAATAAGCAGAAGTCTCAGTTAATGATTAATTTAAATAAGAAGAAAAATTATAAAATCAATTATACAATAACTAATTGTAAATTGCATTTGCACCTCAAAAATCAAACTAAAGATTTTCACCAAACATATATAATGAGTAGGATTTAAAATTAAGTAATTAATATTAAAATTTAAATATTTAAAAGTTTGAAAATTAATACAATGATAATTTTAAAGTAAATTAAGAATAATTCTATGAATAAAAACAGAGCTAATATATAGGAATCAAAAATAACAAATCCAAATAAAACTTAATATATAATAATTTTTGAATAATCATAACTTAGAAAAATAACATAAATAAGACATAGTATTGCATTCTTCAAAGGATGGTAAGTAATTAATTATAATCTAGTCAATTAATCTAATCAATCTAGTTAAAGTTTTAGAAAAAATAAAAAATGATTCTCCCTTATAAAATATATGTATTTATTTTTGTATCTATTTTATATTTCAAAATCCCAAAAAGCCATCCTTTCAGATGTTGTTTATTATTCACTAATCATCTATTATAATAATATTCTTTTAATCATTGTATGTTTATTTGGATTTGGGTTTAGTAAAAAATTTTTATTTTGGAACTGGTTCCTTAGACTAATTTACCCAAGGTGTATATTCTTAATTGTTAGTTATGTTTTCTGAATTATTTTGCTTTTTTTATTCATGTTATTTTAGATTATCAAGAAAATTTTGTAATTCATTTTCATTGATAGTTTAACTAATGATTTAATCTTCTTTCTATTATATTTCAGATAGAGGTAAATTTTATTTCATTTTTATGATTTTTAATTGAGGTAAATCATTCTGTAATTGTTGATCTTTTTTTTTTTCGTGAAGACATTATTTTTTTAATTTTTTTTTGATTAGTAATTTGTTCCGCTTCTATTTTCCAAATTTTTTGATTTTTTAAAACTCCACACAATTTTAATTAGGTTCATAAATAATTTAAGAATCAATAAACTTAGCTAATTTTGCTTAATTCCAAATAACATGGAATTATTCTGTAAATATTTTAGCTGTTTTTGAATCTTTCAATAAAGTTAAATGCTCAAAGTTATTTGAAAATGCTTAATATGTCCAATTTGCACTACCAAAAATTGTAAGCTTATTATCAATTACACAAAATTTGTCATGCATCAAACCCTTACACTCAATCAAAGAAACTTTTACTCTAAATCCACTTAATACTAAAAGCTTATTTGTAGTTATTTATTTTCTTTCATCTTATTCATCTGATTTGAAATCCATAATTATATTAACTTGACATCCTTAAATTGCTAATTCTACTAAAATTTCAATAATTGTTTAATGTGTCAATTAATAAATACAACCCAAAAATGTTTTTTTACATTTTTTTAATTTCCTACAAAACTTTTAGAAGTTATCTTCATTTGGGAAAAATATATGTTAAAATCTAGTTTTTGAACATTTATTATTCATTGATCTTTCTTAACTCATAGTTTATAAAAATTATGATTAAAATAAACTTGATAAATTTTTCCATTAATTTAGAAATGTTAATAAGAATTTAGATTTCATGATGAAAAGAAAGTATAAATATCTTATTATATTGATAAATAAAATAATTGAAATAAGAAGGTATAAATTAGAATGATTCTTAAACAACGGAAAAGAATATAAAATTCATTTGACGAAGGATCAGAGGAATATCATATCTTACTAAATTTGTTTGGACTAAATATTTACGCATTGTCACATATTTCAATTAATTCTCTAAGTTTGCCTTTAAATTCTGATAAATATCTATTTTTTGGATCTTAAGAACTAATTAATATTTTCTCTGGGGATTGAGGACTTAAAATTAAAAGCTTTGTTTTTCTTACTTTTAAAAGGAAGATAACGTTTCTAATTTTGGTAAAGTATAATCTGACATTGTAGTTTTCATTTTGCTTTTATCTGAAAAAGCAATCGAATGATAAGGAATTTAATCAGATCTAAAAAAATGAATTATGAAGGTACGAAATTTGAGTTTTATATTTTTACGACTTTCGTTGTTATTATCTTTATATTTCTAAGATTTCACTAACATTGCTTAGTTTAGAGACCTTTTAGACAACATGATTATACTTATAACTCCATAATTCACATATCTAACTAATTTTTAATTCATACAATTACAATTTCTTAACATCAATGATGTCTTCTTTTGGTTTTTGAAAAGATCTTTTAAATGGAATTTAACCAGATTTCAAAAGAATACTTTAAGGAACAATTTTTTAGTTTTGACTCTCATCTGCTTAGAGTTTTCTAAATCTTTTTTTATAAAAAGTCTTATATGTTTCAATTCTATCTAATTCAGGGTTTTCATTTGTATTAAAGGGATTAAATTTGGAAATGGTTAGCCTTTTAGACATTATATTGTGATACAATATAATTTAATTTACCCAAATTATAAATTATATTAAACAAAAATAACTTATTATATTTAAATTGTATTTAGTGCATTCAATTATCTTAGTTGATATGATTTGAATAAATAAAAAGGTGTTCCTAAAACAAAATTTATTAATAATAATATAAAATTCATCTTTTACTATAGGAACTAATTTATATAATAAATTAAATTTACTTGTATCTTAAAGTTCCAAGTCCAGCTTATTAGATAATTTTATTTTTTTTCTCTATTTTATCAGATTTTTGTTTATTAAATGGTGATTTAAATATTTAATCAATAGTATTTTATTTTTTAAGCAAAGGTGTTTAATTATAGCTTGTACATTAAGTAGTAATTTAAGGTGATAATTAAGAAAATCTATAATAAATGAAATAAATACTCAATAGGTATTTTTTTATTAGGAGCTAAACTTCTCGTTAATCCATATTTATCAACATTCATTTATTGTCGAAGTTAACCTAACATAATTTTTGGAATAGCTATAATTTCATATTGATTCATATCTAATTAATTAAAGTCTTATTGTATTTTAAATTGATATTAGTTTAGTTATTTTTTAGGATCATCTTAATAATAATGATGCTCAGTTTTAACATGATTTTATTTAATAATTTATTAACCAGCATTTGAAAACTTTTAAGCATAGTTGGTTTAATTTCTTTGATTTGGAGAAGATTGGATATTAGTAAAGATATGAGATTTAGTTTCTCTTATTCCTGATGTGTTTAGACCAAGTTTCTAAATGGTTGGAGAGATTTCATCTTTTTAGACAAAGGATTGTAAATTCTTAATTATAGGAATTGAAGGTTTATTCACCATTCCTATTACACCTTCTTTATTCATAATAGTCATCTTTCCTTTAAAACGAGATTTAAAATCCATTATATTAATAAAATAATTATAATTATAGGATGAAAAAATAATATGGCAATTCATTTATTTTAGACACTTCAATAGTAACTTAAATTAATTATACAAGGGCATGAACAATACAATTTATTTAAGTCCTAATACAAAAAAACCTATTACAAACAGTTTTTCAGTTAAAACAGATTTATATGATCAAAATTTGTAATGTAATGTATTTCTATTCCTATCAATTGTTCATGGAAATCATTAACTAAATAAATTATTTATTTAAAGATGCGGAAATAAAGATAAGTTTTTGTAAATGTTTGACACTTTTTAATATTCTGCTTTACTTACAAAAGTGCTTCAGATAATTAATTAATATTTTACAGAAACACAGACATAATGTTTTGAATAATATCCTAGTAGTAATAATAAATCATGGTATTCTTCTGATTAAAAATACACCCCAAAATAAGGAAGTAACGATAAATTTTAATCAATGATAAAAAAAATAATTACAACAGATCTAGATCCTTTAAAATCCTTGATCAATAGAGTTTAGGAATAAAATTAAAGTTAGTAACAATCCTCAACTAAAATTACATCATCAGCATCGAATCTTTCTAATAAACTGAGTGAGAAATTAATGAAAACTAATATACTTAAGGATTAATTGAAAGAAAAAATAACAAAATTAGCTATGTAGAATAGTTACAACTATTAGTATAAATTAATTAAAACAGAAACAGATGCTTCTTAAACTTATTCTGCACATGTTAAAGATACACCAAGTTAAACAAATACATAATAAGAATCAATTTTACATAAACCAAATAGAATCTCTTTTGGATAACAATAATTGTTTAATAATTCATAAAATGACGATTAGATTATTGAATATTAAAAAAATGGAAAAAATTAAAAAACATTAATTGAATCTTCTCCTACATTTCTACACCATTAATAAAAAGATAACGTTATATAAACATCAGAAACATAAATAAATTTATAAAATTGCAATAATCAAAACGAAGATTAAAGCAATGATAATTCTTTGGATTTGACACCAGATAAATCTAGAAGATTCGAAGGAACGTTTGGTAAAGTTAAAAATAGAGAACTTAAAAATAAAAAAAAATCTAATAGTGTTTCTGGTAATGTGTCACCATAAAGAAGTGACAGACATAATCATGAAGTCATTTCGATCGATTAAATCTAACATAAAAGAAAAATTAGTATTAATAGTGTAAATAGAAGATATAATATATTAACAAATGAATAATTGGAATGATTAAAACAAAATAAAATTTAATAACATATTTAACATGTCTATATTTACAATGTATTAATCTAATACAAAATCAGCTCTATCAAAAGTTTAATTACTTGGAGCTATAACTTCTACTCCTCTTAAAACAAATAAATCTTAATAATAAGATAGAGAATAATTATACAATAGTCAACTTATGTAAAAAGCATTGATTGAATCATGCAAGAAGTCAAAAGAAAATAGAATGAACTCTCCTACATATAAAATTACTGATACTATTGTTTAAGTAAATTATTATTATTCTAATCAGGCTAATTAAGATGGTCAACAATAGAGATCAGGCAAAAAGAAGGCTTTATTCAGTGGAATTGATTCTTAAAGCGATCCCATTAGAAATGTACATACATCATCTAATAAAACTAATGTGAAATTGATGATGTTTAATGAAGGACATTTTATGAAAAAATATTAATAATAACCAACAGATATTAATTAAGAAAAAGATTACAGAAGCTCTATAAGAGTTTATAAATAAGAACCAAGAACTGAAAGTAACTAAAAAAAATTAAGAAAGAGTGTTCCTGGCTAACCAGTAGCTAAAGATCCAATTTTATCACCTGATTCTAAAGTTGATAAAAAAGTATTTAAATTTTATAATGCTAATTTAGTTGAGAATATCTTGTCTTCAATAATCCGAATAAAAAAATAAAATGGAAAGTATTAGAACTTATGGTCATGCTAATTCATCTATGGGATTTCGAAATAGTGTAAACTAATAAGGGTAGTAGGATGATACTAGTCCTAGAAAGATGAGAGAAAGTAATACTTATAAAAGTGATATGAAAAGTATATTAAGTTAAAATGAAAAACTTTAAAAATTAGTAATTAAATAATTTTTACAATATTTTAGTATTCAAGAACTGATTATAAAGGATGTGATAATATAAAGAAATCAAAAAGAGTAAGTATTAAAATGGATGTTCCTAGACCAACATCTGCTTTTGCTTTATTTGATAAGTGATATAAATTATTTAATTTAATTTGCTTTTTTTATTGTTGTATTGTACTTAAAAAGAGAAAACTTGTTAACATAGCCCTGAATGTTAATTATATTGTCAAATCTTAAGGTTATCTGTTCGATTTTAATATAATTCTAAATGATTAGTTTTTCTTGACTAAATAGATAAAATGAAAGAGAAAAGCATAGAATCTTAAGGATTTCTCATATTTTTAAATCTTATTGTAATATAAAGAGCCATGAGGAAGTTTTATGTAATAAAAGCATTTCGATGATTATTTTTATTTTGCAATCCATCTAATGAGAATTAATAGGATATCATAAGTGCAAATGAATAAGAGTGTATAATGATACTAATAAAATTGTTGATTGATAAAGAAACTTAATTATAGATATTAAGAGAAGGATTGAAAATAAAAGATAAACAAATGAAAAATGAATGAAAGAGTTTGAAAGACAGAGTATTTATTGTGAGATTGTTATTCATATTGAAATGTGATAGTTGAATGCTTTACAATTTAAGGGTTTAGAAATATTATGAAACAAATTAATTATTTTCAATAAGCATTATTCATCTTTAGATAGGTTTTGCTTTTAATTATATTAGATTGGCAGCAAGTCATGAACGATCAGTCAGATGAAAAGCAACAAAATAAATATAATTGCACATAATTTGAAGACATTAATGGACTTGATTAAAGTATAAGAAAAGTAGTAAAAATGGATGGAAGTGGTGAAAAGGCTTGTATTAGTATCTAGATTAATTTAGCAATCAATTTGTAATGCAACTCCTTTAGAATTAATGAATAGCGAAAATCAGTCATTTAGTAAATTAAACATCTTGCTCGATAAGGTTCTCAAATGTATGTAACTATCAATATATTTCAATTTTTAACAACTACAATTGTAGTTTTTCATATTGCACATATATTTTAATTGCTTCCTTTATTATTATTTTAGTACCGGATATTTAGAGCTTCCAACATAATAAATAAATCAATATAAAAATAGAAGTAATGAAGATGCAGTAATTGACGAAGTACTCTTAGAGTAAGTACATTTTCAATACAATCTCAACTCTAATCCATATATTCAACATTTATTTTTTCTTATTATTTTTTCTTAGTAAGTTTTTACCGCCAAACTCAATCACTCCACTCATTTTCACTAAAAAATTACCACAAGGAGGTCAATATAGATTAAAAGGAACACAACCATTGTGGGTAAATGCTTTAGAAAGTCTTTTGAGTGTTGTGGTCTAATTGTATTATAAGAGTGATCAAAAATTGGCAGAGTTTATGAAAGAAAAAGTCTTAATAGATTCAAAAAAAGAACTTAAACAAGTTTATATTACATTATTAATTCAAGGAAAAGAAACCTGGAAGGAAAAAGAAAATTCCTGATAACGATTCACCTAATCAAGAATAGAATGAATAATAATAATAATAATCAGGCAATATCAATGTTTATTCACTACTTTAATAAGATGTATTGGATATTCTAATATCTCCATTAAGAAATGATTTTCCATTTGGTATTATCAATATTTCTAAATTTTTAGAAACTTGGACAACCAAAGAAATCGCAATTTTCGAATGTGGACTTTGCAGATATGGTAAACAATATGAATTTTTATCCCATCTTGTAAAATTATCACTTATTTTAGATTAAAACTAAAAATGCTCAAGACATCATTTAATTTTACTACTTTTGGAAATTCACGAGCCATTATAAACTTTGGAAAATTAATAAAGCATATTATCATCGCAGTAACCTAAACAACTATGTTTGATTTAACTTTGATCTTGCAATATTTATGTTTAAATATTATATAATTTGTAAATATATGTTTATTCTTAATATATTGTTTTTATTTTCATATAATCTTAGAGAAAAACAATATTTCAAATAAATTCTACTTCTGCATTTCCGTATAACATTACACATGGAGACATTTCTAAACCATTATTATTTGTTAAATCTAATAAGTAAGTTTTTCCATCCTTTTTATAAATTATTTTTATACATTTAGATGCAATAAATTTAATTTAAAATTAGTAGGATCATAATAACAAATTATGATACTTCCTTAATTATATATAAAATTAGTAACACCATTATAACCTTCATAACTTGAAATTCTATATCCTCCAGCACATGCAAGATAAGTATTATGGTTTGTTGATGTATAATTTCCATTCATATCATAGTTAAAACCATAAGCTGTTTATAAGTGACATATTCCTATTCCTACCCCTACCCATGAATTGTATT